GTCACCTCCCTTCTCCTTGCTCTTGCTAACCTCCTCCTGGTTTCCATCCCATCTGGGCTTTCCCATCTGGACCAGGCATCCAGCTGATTCTGAGTGGTCACCGCATGGGCCTTCTTTGTCCCCTATTTATGGCAGGGAACCAGCAATAATCACAGCCATCACTGAACATTTTCTACATCACATTTCACTTCCTCCGTCATCTCCTTTCCTGACAACCATCCTGTGAGTTTGAAGTTTTACAGAAGGGGTGTGGAAAGACTTCTTGTCATCATACTAGGTGATTGGGCTAAACTAATCAAAGTGATCTGAGAAATATATGTGAGACTTTTGCTAAAATAGTTTATTCTTGAAATATTAATGTTTATTGCATGTAACATTATTATATTTAAAATAGATTTTCTTGAAATATTTAAAAAAAGAATAGTTTATTGACTTTTAGAGAGAAAGGAAGGGAAAGGGAGAGACAAAAAAAAACATCAATGTGACAGTGGCAACATAGATCAGTGGCCTCCCACACGCCCCCTACGGGGGACCAAGCCTGAAACTTAGGCATATCCCCTTGACCTGGAATCAGACAGGCAATCTCCTGGTGCAGGGAACAATGCCCAACCAACTGAGCCACTGTGGCCAGGGCAGAAATGTTTGAGATTTTACTGCCCATGTTTCCCTTTAGGATTTAATCCATTTGTAGTTTATTCTTGTATGTGCTATAAGGAGCTGGTCGAGATTTTTGCACATATTTGTCCTATTTTATCAACATCATTTGTTGAATACACTGTCTTTACTCCATTGTATGTTCTTGCCTCCTTTATTAAATATTGTCATATAAGTGTGGGTTTATTTCTGGGCTTTCTATACTATTCTGTTGATCTACATATCTGTTTTTATGCCAATACCATGCTGATTTTATTACTAAGTCCTTGTAGTATAGTTTGATAGCATGTAGCGTGGTTCCAACAATTTTGTTCTTCTCAAGTTTGCTGGGGCTATTCATGATATTTTGTAATTCCATATAACTTTGGGATTACTTGTTCAATTTCTGTGAAATACACCATTGGTATTTGATAGAAATTGCATCGAATCAATAGAATGCTTTGGGTAGTATGGACATTTTAACAATGCTAATTCTTTCTATTTATGAACATGGTATGTTTCCATTTATTTGTACTTCTTTAATTTTATTCTTAGTATCTTATAAATTTCTGAATACAGGTCTTTTATCTCATTTACTTTTATTCCTCAGTATGTTTTTTTTAATACAATTTTAAATGGGATAGTTTTTTAGTTTCCCTGATAGTCCATTATAAGAGGATAGACTTGTCTTCACACAAAAGACAAGGTCTTAGGGTCATCCCATGGGAAACAGTAATTTTTTTTCTAGGTTTGAATCCCACTAATCTGTGGCCCTCCCAAAACAAATACTAATTGACCTACAAAGTTGTGAGGGCCAAGTCAGTTAACTTACATGTTGTTGAGTACACATTTTCTTCACCTCTTTTCTTAAGGGCTACGTAGTTGGGAATGAAAAGAAATAAAGGAACTGGAGATAGGTAGGAAATGAAAAAGTATAATGTATCTTAATTTCAGAATCAATATTACAGCCTAAAAATGTACCATCTCTTTTCACATGCTACGTTCATATCCATTTTTCATCCTGGATATATTCCATCTTGTACTTAGGACTGCAATATCACAACTATTGAAATATTTTTCTCCTAATAATGGAGTATTTATTACACAACCAGCACTGTCCTGTGTGTTTTTTCACTTCATATAACTGTCAAAACAACACCATAATTTATTATATCACCAAGTTTCCACCTAAACAAATTGGAAGACAGGACTGAAGATCTTTGGCGATATCAATAATAAGCAGTGAAAACAATAACCAAGAAAACGTTGACGTAAATAATCTGTATATATAAAAGCCTAATATGCAAAGTGTCCCCTCTGGAGTTCCACTGACTGGGAGTTCGATCACTCGCTATCACTGTGCTGACCACCATGGGGCAGCGCGGAACAAAGGAAGGCCCCGGACGGCAGCTGGCAGCTGCTAGGGACCCCACCGGTGCATGAATTTCATGCACTGGGCCACTAGTTTTTCTATAATAGAAGAAACAAAGTGTACTAAACAAACTACAACCTAATACGCTCATTGTAAAATGACTTCAATTTTCAGGATATTTCAGTACATCCTAGAATTCATTGAAAGCCACTCTTGAAATCTCAAGAACAACATATAAGCAATAGTTTATAAACTATGGAACAAGGAAAACATATGGTAGATCTTACGTGAGAGAGACGTAAACAAAATGGAATTGCCTTGAGACTGTGAAACCCAGAGTCATCAGATAAGGAAGAAATGCAATGGAGTGCACAGAAGACAATTCACACTATAAATCTGTAAGGTTTGACTTTGTTAGTACATCAAGAAATATTTTCAAATTACCAATTTTGGTCCATTAACCTTTTCATCTGAAGATATGTGTACACACATTCACACCCACTTCCCTCTTGATAGTCATCTTATGCCTAAATCACATCTTTATATTACTATTTTTACATATTGCATGCAGTGCATGTCAAAACTATGTAAATCTCTTTGTTATGTAGGCTCAGAAAAAGAATATATACATATTCAGGTGTACTGGTTAATAATGCGGATTCTGTAATCAAAGAAAACATGATAATTTCAAGAGAAGCATCAAAAGTGCTTCATTCAAAGTAATGTCCATCGCTAGCTACACATTTCCCCCATCTTTCAGGTAATTTGTGGATACTGTCCCAATAGAACTTTTTTTGTTTTGAGGCAAACCATTCAGAGACCCAATTTTCCACTTCGTATGTTTTGAAGTGCTGCTCAGAAAGTGCATGTGCCATCTATTGGAACAAGTGGTAATCTGAAGGAGCAAGGTCTGGTGAATATAGCAGGTGGGTTAATACTTCCCAGGCAAGATCTTTTAACGTGTCTTTAACTGGTTTTGAAGTGTGTGATGTTGCGTTATCATGAAGCAAAATTACTTTGCCATGTGTTCTGGCACATTCTGGTCATTTCACGATCAAAGCGTGGTTCAAATTGAGTATTTGTTGTCAGTAGTGATCAGTATTAATGGTTTCACCTGGTTTTAGAAACTCATAATACACCACACCTTCCTGATCCCACCAAACCCAGAGCATTGTCTTCTTTCCAAAGCGATTTGGCCTTGCAGTGGATGTTGATGGTTGATCTGGATCAACCCATTGTTTTGTGCATTTGGGATTCTCAAAATAAATCCGCTTTTCATCACCAGTCACAATTCGATGCAAAAAAGACTTTCTTTCATGCCGTTGAAGCAATATTTTACTGATGACTTTTCGGTTTTCCATTTGTCTTTTGTTCAGTTGATGTGGCACCCATTTTCCTTCCTTTAAAATCTTTCCCATTGCTTGTAAATGATCACAAATTGTTTGCTGAACAACGTTTAATCTTTCTGCAAGTTGTTTTTGAGTTTGACACGCACCTTCATTCAATAATGCTTGTAATTGTTGGTCTTCAAATTTTTTCGGTTGACCTGAATGTTCTTTGTCTTTCACATCGAAATCATCACTTTTAAAGCATTAACCAGTGTTCACAACTATCTTGAGATTGAGCATGTTCACCATAAGCTTCCCAAAGTATACAATAACATCCAGAAGCTCTTTTCTTCAAAATAATGAATTCAAACTTCCCGCAAATGCTCTTTTTTTTGGCACAAAATTCGACATTTTTAAGCGTAAAAAATCTCTATGATGTTAACACCTTCAGCAAATTTGACATGAAGTTTTGAAGCTTGTTGTCAATACAACAAAATAGCATAAATATCAAATCGCATATATATCAACCTATGTGTAACTCCATCTATTGAAAAAAATCCGCATTAACTGGTACACCTGGTATATATATATATTAAAATGTTATCAGGAAGCAGAATTCCAAATACAGGGCTTCTAATAAGACTTTCAAGCATTTTGTTAAATTGGCATTTGTTAAGAAAAGCCCACGGTACTGGGCAGTGCCTAGCAATCACACAAAGACCACCGGTAAATCTGGGGGGAAAAAGTATAGAATTGACGAGGCTGGACAAAGTACACAGTATACCTGCAGGGGTGAACACAGGCAGGACAATACAGGATGCAGGAAGAGAGTGGCAGTACACAGAGTGTAGGTCTGATTTAGGATCACTAAGTGGAGTGCCTTGGGGTTCTCGAGCTAGGTCCAGATTGTTCAGCTTAAACAAAATCAGCAAGGTTTGGCTAGGTCTTCAGAAATCTTACATAAGGGGCATACAAAATGAAGACCCTGCAGTGCAAAACAAACAAACAAGAAACAAACAGACTACTGTTCACAAGGACTGCTGGAGATGCCATATAAAAAACTTACATTCACTTGGAACACTGTAAGCTGGTGTCTGTGTGCACTAGGGTTTCATGGGAGTTCAGTACAAAACTTTTTAGCTACACAAAATAAATGCCAATGCTGAAACATCATACACTTTTTACTTAAACTTTCAAAAATACTCCTAGATATGTTTTTGTAACCATCATAATGTCCCCAGCAGGTATGATAAAAGGAAGGAAATATATAAATTATGGGTAAACTCTTTACATATTTATTTAAGGTTTAAGGTCTCTGGGTAAAGGATTGCTAATGATGTCATTCCATTGCATTTTTACCTGAAACCTTGAATGAGGTGGGAAACGTTAACTTTGATCGCATATTAATACCTTATTCATTACACATCACTGATAACATATTTAAATTAAAACACTTTATTGCCCAGTTGGTTGAGTGTTGACCTATGAACCAGGAGTCATAGTTTGATACCTGGTCAGGGCACATGTCCAGATTGTAGGCTCAATCCTCCAGTGTGGGCATGCAGGAGGCAGTTGATCAATGATTCTCTCTCATCACTGATGTTTCTATCTATTCTCTTCCTCTCCCTTCTTCTCTGAAGTCAATAAAAAATATTTTTAAAAATAAATAAATAAATAAAACGTTTTATGAATGAGAATATATAAAGTCCACACATATTCTATGGAACAAGGAAAACATATGGTAGGTTTTACATGAGACACGAATGTAAACACAATGGAATTGCCATGAGAGATTGTCAAACCCAAAGTCATCAGATTAGGGAGAAAGAAATTCAATAGAATGCACAGAAGACAATTCGCATTACAGACCCACTGGTCAAAATACACATTACAAGCATTCACAGAAGCATCAAATGAATTTAGATTTAAATCACATTACTATTTGTGTTTCAAAAAATCACAAATACTGTCATAATAAAAAGGATACAGTGTAGGAAATTACATTTTTTCAAACATCCATGCCCTTGGTATTTTCATTCATACTAGAAAATCATATAACTTTCTTACTGGATTCTCTAAAATAAGTATTCTGATTTAAAAGGCATATTTGAAAAGTGTTATTGACTTTATATTTGCATGGTTTCTATTCAGTATGAATTCACTAAAGTTCAGTGAGGCTTGATAAATAGTTAAAAGTTTTGCCAAATTCTTTAAATTTGTATCATTTCAGTCGGGCATGAATCATGTGATATTGACTATGGTTCCAACACTGGGAAAAGGTGTTGCCAAATTCTCTACACTTGTAATGGTTCTCTCTGGTATGAATTACTTGATATTTAGTGAGGTTTGGGCAATGGTTAAAGGTTTTTCCATATTCTTTATATTTGTATTGCTCCTATCCAGTATGAATTCCCCAATATTGAAGAGCAGAGGTTAAAGGCTTTGTCACACTCTTCACATTTGTAAAGCTTCTCTCAGGTATGCAGTCTCATGTTTGGTAAGATTTGAGTGGTGGGTAAAGGCTTTGCCACATTCTCTACATTTATAAGGCTTCTCCCAAGTATGAATTTTCTAATGGTCCATGAGACTTGAAGAATTGTTAAAGGCTTAGTCACATTCTCTACATTTTAAGGCTTCTCTCCAGTATGAATTCTCTGATGTTGCATAAGTTGTGAGGGCCAGATAAAGGCTTTGCCACATTCTCTACATTTATAAGGCTTCTCTCCAGAATGAATTCTCTGGTGTTGAGTAAGATTTGAGCTCCGAATAAAGGCTTTACCACATTCTCTACACTTATAAGGCTTCTCTCCAGAATGAATCCTCTGATGTCGAGTAAGGGTTGAACACCGGTTAAAGGCAAAGCCACATTCTCTACATTTATAAGGCTTCTCTCCAGAATGAATCATCTGATGTCGAGTCAGATGTGAGCTTGAGATAAAGGCTTTGCCACATTCTCCACATTTATAAGGCTTCTCTCCAGAATGAATTTTCTGATGTTGAGCAAGATTTGAGCTCTGGGTAAAAGTTTTGCCACATTCTTTACATTTATAAGGCTTCTCTCCAGAATGAATTCTCCGATGACTGGTAAGGCTCGAAGATTTGCTAAAGGCTTTGCCACATTCCCTACATTTATAAGGCTTCTCTCCAGAATGTAGTCTCTGATGACTGGTAAGGCTTGAATACCATTTATAGGCTTTGCCACATTCTCCACATTTATAAGGCTTCTCTTCGGTATCAAATGCCTGTTGTAGAATAACATGGAAATGCAATTTAGAAACATTATCACATTCCTTTTTTTTTTTTTTTACTATATTTTTATTGAGTTCAGAGAGGAAGGGAGAGGGAGAGAGATAGAAATATCAATGATGAGAGAAAATCATTGATTGGCTGCTTCCTGCAAGCCCCTTACTGGGGATCAGGCTTGCAACCCAGGCATGTGCCCTTGACCAGAATCAAACCCAGGACCCTTCAGTCTGCAGGCTGAAGCTCTAACCACTGACCCAAACCAGCCAGGGCCATTATCACATTCTTTACATTTTTAAGGCTTCTCTTTAATAATGATTTTCTTATGTATATAGACATTGGATAATTGACTAAAGACTCTCATACTCTGATTACACCTAAAGGCTCCTCCCCCAATATGAGTATTTTCATGTTCAGTAAGATTTAATAACAGTTTGAAAGATGTGTCACATTCACTACATTTATCTGTCTTGTCTACAGCATGAATTTTCTGAGGTATAACAATATTTGAGCTTTCATCAAAGACTTTCTGAAATTTATACATTATCTATGAAAACTAAGTTCTCTAATGGTTATTAGAATTTAACCCTTTCTTAAATTCCTAGATTTACTGCACTGACTTCTCTATTCATTATATGCACTCTAGTAATCAATGAAGATAGAAAAGCCTTTAGTTCAAGTTCTAATATCATTGCACATGTAAAGTTGTGTCCAATCACCTATTCTGATACCTATAAAGCCATAATGGTTGAATATAAAACCAAACACATTTATGAAAATTATAGCATCTGGAACAAGAAAGAATATTTTTCTGTGAAGGAATAATTCAAACTTGGTTAAGGGATTTACAAATTCAGTCACAATTTCCATCATTGTGTTTTAAATTATTTATTTTTACAAACATTTAACTTAAATTCTACATTAAATCATCCAAAGACTTATTTACACAATGGACTAGGTGACTTCTCTGATACTCTCAATTTCATTTCAGAAAATATGTATTTTTAAAAGGTTTCCTTTGGTGTTTGCATTCAGAATCACATTGTTCTTCCAAGGTAACTCCAAGTAAAAATTTCCAAAATCTTTTATATCCTTAACCTCTTTTGGCAGCAAGGATATTGTATGGGTGATTGTTCCAGTTTGGTTATATGCATCATAACATCTTTTTTCTCTTCATATTGCCCCAGACATTCCAAAACTTTGACTAAGTGTAAATTCTCAATGCCACACATTGTACACCTTACCTGTAGCATATTCCAATATGAATTTTCGATGCCTGGTTTTGGTAACAAGCCCTGGGTGACTTGAGAAGACATAACTGAAATATAACAAATGAATTACAACACACTACATGCAGATAAGTATTGTTCAAATGTAATGTACAGAATTAATACCTGTCAAATGACTTCAGTGAGGTGGCAGAAGAGGATTCACCTACATTTTTTCTCCATGAAGATGGAAACTTAATAACAATGACTGACCCAATTACCTTTCAGAGTACTTAAGAGGTCAAAGATCACAGCACACCCCAGAGGGAAAAAACAGAAAAGGGTCATGTCAAAGAGGGAAGAAAAGTTGCTTGTATTTGCTCCCAGTACCTGGTCCCCTTTCTGGTACACTACACAATGGCTGTGGGATACCTCCCCATCCTCAGTTTCTTCGTGCACTGTGTGTCCAATTCAGAATGGTCTGGATTTTTTGCAACTACCTGTGGAACTTGCTTCTGTTTTAAATGACACAGATTGCTAAGGAAATGGTAATTTACCATGAACACACTGTGGTGGCTGCTAAGAAAGAGAGTAATTATTCAAGCACCAAAGAGACTGTTGTGCTGAAGAAAGACATCAGGATTGGGAATATCATGTGTTCTAAATAAAAGCAAAATATGTTTTAAACTGGGAAGTTACATGAAACACACCCACGCAGGCTTCTGGTCAAGATGGTGGTGTAGGTAATTGCAGCACTGGCAACGTCCCACAGCCACACTAAATAAAACAACTAAACTACAGGAAAACCATTGTTCAGAATGTCCAGAAACCTAGCTGAATGAAGTTCTACAACTAAAAACATAAAGAAGAAGCCTCAGACAGACTGGTATCAGGTGCAAAGTCACAGAACGGGCTGGGACCACATGATGGATGAAAATCACAAGAAGTATTTCAGCTGCAGAAGTGAAGAGTGAAGGGTCCCAGCCCCACAGAAGGCCCGCCAGCCCAGGGTTCCAATCCCAAGAAGAGATGTCCCCATTACTATGGCTGTAAAAACTAGGGAGGCTTGTGCTGAGTGAGATGGAGAGCTGATGGAGTCTCAGGCCCATGGTCGGCAAACTGCGGCTCGCAAGCCACATGCGGCTCTTTGGCCCCTTAATTGTGGCTCTTCCACAAAATACCACGTGCATCACAAAATACCACGTTCAGGCGCACACGTACAGTGTGACTTGAAATTTCGTGGCCCATGTGCAAAGTCGGTATTTTGTGGAAGAGCCACACTCAAGGGGCCGAAGAGCCACATGTGGCTCGCGAGCCACAGTTTGCCGACCACTGCGGCAGTTCCCTTTAATGGGCTCATGCTCTGACTTACTCAGACTCATGCCCTCTGAGCTCCAGAACTGGGCAGCAGCTTGAAAGGCACCGGGACACACAGGGAAGAACAACAATATCTGGCCTAAGGACGAGGCCTGGAGAAGGAGCTTTTTCCCAGACATAAGTCTTGGGAGAAGTCATTCTTCCTTTTCTAAAACCCTTCACGCACAGAGCGGGCAGACAGGCTCCATAGCTGAGTATCAACCTGGCTCAGACTTTTCACCCACCCTGAAGATTTCCTCAGACCCTGCCCCATGAACTTGCAGGCCCGCCCAATCTGTTTCAAGTGGTTTTCCATGAAAACGGCCTGAATAAGCTTATGCTTCAGTCTTTACTACAATGTCTCAAAGAATCAGCATCTGGCCTCAGTGTGTCTTGTACCTCTTGCTAAGTGGCCCCAGCCCCAAAATAATGTTTAATTACTGGGGTTTACACCTAAGACACATGTAATATTGATGTCAAGTGTAAATAAAATATTAAAAAATGATAGAAACACACACACACACACACACCAATTACACTTTCCAGAATAGGTTTGACAGGCCATTAAAAACCTACCATAGCTGATTGTTATTTGTGTTCTCTTGTACAAAGGAAGCTCATAAAGAAAGGGATGACGCCTGCTTCTAATGGGCTTACATAGTAACAAAAAATCACAAGGCTTATGAAAAAACAGACAAACAGTCCAACCAGAGGCACAAAGTAAGTCTCCATGTGTTGGTCCTAACTTAACGGCAATCTGTTAATTACGTGACAAAGAATTCAAAATAACCATCTTAAAGGGGATCAATCTGATCATAGAGGAAAAACACAGAAAACTAAATTACCATCAAAACTATGCATGACAAAAAACTAAATTACCATTAAAACTATGCATGAAAAAAAATACAAAGGCAGAAAGTGTAAGAAAGAACCAAACAAATATTGGAAGTTGAAGTACTCAGTACCTGAATTTAAATATACAATAGAAACATCAGCAACAGACTTGGTCAAGCAGAAGGAATAAGAGGAGAGCTTGGCCACCTATCCCCAGCGCTCCTGGGAGGTGGGAACCAAATTCCAGCATCTCAACCACTTCTTTACAAGCTACTTACATGAAGCAGAAAAGAGAATTGGTTTAACATAACATTCCTCACCAATGTGCAGTTTCCCAGCGTCCGCAAGAAATGCAAGAGTAGCCAGGTCATGCCACCCTCACACTACCAGGGCAGGTCTTTGGCTCTCACTGCAAATGTGATGGCAGATCAAAGGAGCACAAGGAGAACCCTTACATGATGCCAGAGAGTAAATGTTGAAGAGGCTCTGTCCCTTGAAGACAGAAATAGAAGTAAACCTGACCCTCTCCAAAAATCATTTCCCATTGAAGCCAATCTTCCCAAAACATATTTTAAAGCTTGCCTTCCTCTGTGACTTTTGACCTCTCACCTGGGTTGTCTGCTACCTTCATTCCCCCCTACCTGGCTGGCTGGATATTGTTTCTTTTCTCTTCAACTCCCAGGGCTCCATCATGTGCTCCAAAAAGGTGACCAGGTCTGGCTTAGACATAACAAGACCTGTTTATTAAAAAAAAAAAAAAAAAGGAACGTGAGATTTTAATGGAGATTTTCCAATTTCCCATCCAGCCCTGGGTTCAAGTAAGAAGATAGGACATTGCAGAATATCAGAATATTTTAGAAAATTATTTCCCAAAATTTTATTTTCTGACAGCACCTTTATTATACCAGAGACATTTAAAGTTTCCAAATCCTGAGTTCCACTTCCATATACATCAGGAAGCCTTTCTGTTCTGCACCAGCAAAACCCCAATTGCTTTCCTTGGGAGCACAGATCTGAAACTCTCATACAAAGCAGAAGCTCACCACTGACACTGTACTAATGAAGACAACAACACCCTGCGGGTGGAGGAGAAATTCTGGAAGGACGTGGTCCTCACCCAGGAACACCAGGTTCCTGTAGTTCTGCAACATCACGTCCCTGTACAGTTCCCGCTGAGCTGGGTCCAGGCACGCCCACTCCTCCTGAGAGAATTCTATGGCCACATCACTGAAGGTCAACTGACCCTGAAATTGAAAGATACAAAGCAAAACAAAAATTAAAACATTACTCAAGTAAACATGGACAGGGGTCACAATGTGACCCAATAAGAACACAGAGTGAACAGAACTGGTTTTGACCTAAGAGTACCCTGAATTATCCAATAAGATCATTTTGACCTTCTCCAGTGTATTTTGAGAAAGGAGGATGACATATCATTTACAAAACCACTGTAGAGGCTTTACTTTTCTGGAAGAGAAATTTTAAACATAAAGGCATCAACACAGGCATATCCATTTTTGAGTGCTATATTTGAATCATAGAGGATCAAGTGTATATAGTTCTTAGGTAGAGAAGTCATTCTGAGTGAGCACACCAAAGTACTTCTAAAATATCAAATTGCAAAACAAGGGACTGGAGATCCACAGAATTCAGACCCTGATTCAGGAGTGCGGGGTGGGTCCTGAGTTTCCAGCTCACTTAAAACTATGGACACCAATGAGTCTGCTGCATGTGCCACACCTTTAGACAGCACAGAGAAAGAAAACAAGGAAAGAAATGCGTATGCAGGACTTTGAGTGAAGTATTTTACTGAATTTACAGAGCTCATACATTAGTAAGCCTAGCAATCACAATCCTTCTTTAATGATAACTATGTACTAGATATTATTCTAACCATTTTATATATATAAATTAATAAATCTCATGACAAATCAGAGAACAATGAAAATATTCTTCTTTTTGTAACAAAATATTTTGTAAACCATCCAGCAAATGGTGGAGCTTGGATGAAAACAATATACAAATGCAGCCATCATAACGTGCAGTGTTGTTACTAGAGAATAGAAACAAGAAGGTAAAAAAGAGCTCAAATAATGTTAACATTTTCTGCAAAAAGACAAGACATAATAATGGAAATAATATACATATTAAATGTGACACAAATGATACATTTTCATGTCAAGAAAATTAGCCTGAAATAAAATCAAGATTAATTCCACTTGTGTTAATCTCACAAATCTCTTCATGGATGAGTCTTTGCATTTTATAAACACAAAAGAGAGGTAAACACACAATGATGTAAAATAAGGTAGAGCTATTCTTTAATTACTATTTTTGTTTTAATCTTCACCTGAGGATAATTTTCCAATGACTTTAGAGAGAGTGGAAGGGAGGGAGAGAGGAAGAGAGAGAGAGAGACAGAGAGAGAGAGAAACACTGATTGGTTGCTTCCGGCACACACCCTTACATGGGTTGGGAATCAAACCTGGGTCATACCTGTGCATGGCAGGACACTCCAACCCCCTGGTGTACACTGGCCGGGGCACCTTTTATTTCTTGGATAATTTTTATCTCTTGTGCTGATTTGTATTTTATAAATTTAATACTCTTGAACATCCATTTGATTCTTATAAACTTTTATAAAAATACAATGTAGCATTAAAGAAGAGTATGTTTGTGATGTTTGTTGAATACAATAAACATTTACAGGTTTGAGGCCTCACTGATAAAAGCCTCTATTTGCAAAGGTAGTATTGCCAGTGAACAATAACAACAAAAAGGCCTTTATTTCTCAAAGCAACCTACAAATAAAGAGAAACTGAAAAGAGAAAAAGGTTCCAGATGAAATGTGATTGCTTATGTGTAACTCTCAAAAATTTTTCCAGCCCGCTGGTATGGCTCAGAGGTTGAGTGTTGATCTATACACCAGGAAGTCACGGTTCAATTCCAGGTCAAGGCATATGCTTGAGTTGTGGGCTTGATCCCCAGTGTGGGATGTGCAGGAGGCAGTGATTCTCTTTCATCATTGATGTTTCTATCTCTCCCTCCCTCTCCCTTCCTCTCCAAAATCAATAAAAATATATTTAAAAATAATTTGTCCAAGACCCTTATTAAAGATAAAGAAAAAATATTAAATCTATAGTTCAGGAACCTGGCAGAGAACACCTGCACCAAATGAAAATAAAGTTCAAAGGAAGTGACATCAGGTGACTGAAGCACATAGAAGAACAGATTATCGATAACTTTAGTGTCCACATATACCTCCCACATTCTGTAAATCTAACAGTGCATTTAAAGAGTAAGGCTTACAAGAAAATGGCAGCCAATTAGGCAAACCTGTGGTGCATCTCGTCCCAGGGCAAGACTGGAAATACAACTAAAATGGAGAATACTGAGGTTAAAAATGGCAGCAGAGTGAGTGGATGCTGCATGGACATGCTCCCAGGAGCAAACTGGAATTACAACTGAAACACAAAAAAAAAACACCCTGAATAGTTAACAGAAGACTAGCAGGAGAGAAACCTGATCCCCAAGGATGGAAAGTGGAGACTGCATAGATAGGTAGGAGGGGCTAAGGTGTGAAGGGGCTGATGAGGGGCCCACTGAAAGCAGCTGAAGTCCCAAAGAGATATATCTCAGCTATGGGGGGGTTGCCACTGAGGACTCTGGGAACTAATCCCCAAGCTGGGCCCCCCAGAAGAGAGCACCAGAACTGAGAAGGGTACCTACCCAAATAACATCTGGCTGTGAAAAGCAGGAGGGTTGCTGTCTGCCAGGGAGAGATGGCTGGAAAATCAGGCACCCTCTTAAAGGGCCAACACTCAAATTCCCTGTGCAGCCACCCACCTTGTACTTTGGCAGAGGGAGGACAGAGTGGACTAGAGCTGTGTGAGCAGAAGCCAGGATTGGGGACTTGGAGGTTAGAGCTCAGAATGCAGACAGGAAACCGGAGTTTCCTGTGTGGAGTTATTCCCTCATGCAGTGGAGGACATCTTTCCCACACAGACATTTGCTTTACCTGGGGGGAAGACAGTTGACCCACCCTATTGGAAAACACTTTGTCTTGGGGCCACCTAAGATATTAAAAATAACAAAGAGCCTCCAGGCAGAAGCAACTGCCCCACCCTGCTGAAAAAAATCTCTCACCACACCTGAGGACAAGACAAGAGGAATCCTATCAGTCTGCAGGCAGAGGCATTCTCTGGAGGCTTTGAGTCTTTGCCTGACCTAATTAGTCAGAAACAGTGTTTGAAACTATCCTGCATGAGAGATTAAGAGACGTAGAGGATCTACCTAATACATAATCACAATCCAAACAGGCAGCCAAAATGAGGAGACAAAGAAACAACCCCCAAATGAAAGAACAAAAGAATTCTCCAGCAGAAGAGATAAATGAAGCAGATATAAGAAATTTATCTGAAACAGAGGTAAAAGTAATGATGGTAAAGATGCTTAACAGCATGAGAAAAGATATAGTAACTATGAAAACAGAAATAAAGAATGATATAGCACAAATAAACACAATGCAAGGAATACAGAGCAGATTAGGGAAAGCTGAGGATCAAATCAGTGAATTAGAAGACAGGGTATAAAAAAATTTACTCAATCAGAGAACTGAGAACTGAAAAGAAAAAACAATTAAAAAACAGGAGGACAGCTTAAGGGAGCTGTGGGACAACAAGAAACACAACAATATTAGAATAGCAGGTGTTCCAGGAAAGGCAGAAAAGGAGAAAAGGATAGAGAATGTGTTTGAAGAAATAATGGCAGAAAACTTCCCTAGCCTGGTAAGGGAAAAAGTCACACAAGTTCAGGAGGCACAGAAAATCCCAAGCAAGAAGAACCTAAACAGGTCCACACCCAGACACATCATAATTAAAATGCCAAAAATTGCCGAAACCAGTTTGGCTCAGTGGATAGAGTGTCAGCCTGCGGACTGAAAGGTCCCAGGTTCGATTCCAGTCAAGGGCATGTACCTGGGTTGCGGGCACATCCCCACTAGGAGATGTGCAGGAGGCAGCTGATCCATGTTTCTCATCGATGTTTCTAACTCTCTATCTCTCTCCCTTCCTCTCTGTAAAAAATCAATAAAATATATTTTTGAAAATAAAATAAAATGCCAAAAATTAAAGACAAAGAGAGACTCTTAAAGGCAGCAAGAGAAAAGCAAACTGTTACCTACAAAGGAGCTCCCATAAGGCTGACACTTGATTTCTCATTAGAAACTCTACAGGCCAGAAGGAAATGGCATGAAGTACTCAAGGTAATAGAAAGCAGGGCTCTGAGACTAAGATTACTATATCCAGCAAGGCTATCATTCAAAATAGATGGTCAAATAAAGAGCTTCCCAGACAAAAAAAAAAAAAAAAAAGGCTAACAGAGTACATCACCACCAAATCAGCATTACAAGACATGCTAAAGGGACTGCTGTAATGAAAAGAAATGAAGAAACCTAGGCATGCAGAATTAAAATGGCAATAAATAAGTACCTATCAATAAGAACTCTAAATGTAAATGAATTGAGTGCTAATATAAAAAGGCATAGGGTAGCTGAATGGATACAAAAACATGACCCAACTATATGCTGTCTACAAGAGACCCACCTTAGAACAAAGTACATACACAGGATGAGAGTGAAGGAATGGAAAAAAATTTTCCATGCAAATGGAAAAGAAAAAAAAAGCTGGAATAGCAATACTCATATACGACAAAACAGACTTTAAAATGAAGGCCATCACAAGAGACCACAAAGGTCACTATAAAAAAAAAGAACTCTTACCATTTACAGCAAATAGATGGACCTGGAGAGTATTATGCTAAGCAAAATAAGCCAGTCAGAGAAAGATAGTATCACATGATCGCACTCATATATGGAATATAATGAACAAAATAAACTGATAAACAAAAAGGATCTGAAGGCATAGAAGCATAGAACAGACTGACAAATTTCAGAAGGAAGGCAGGGCCAGGGAGGTGGGTGAGGAGTGATTAACTGGGGAACTTATATGCATATATGGACACAGAAAATAGTGGTAAAGGCCTGGGAGGGGCGGGTTCAGGGTGGAGGGGGTCAATGGGAAAAACAAACAAACAAACAAACAAACAAACAAAGGAGACATCTGTAATACTTTCAACAATAACAGAGAAAAATGAATTCTTAAAAAAAAAAAAAAGTAAGGCTTTCTTATTAATGTAGTGAGCAAGTTTCTTCTAACAATTTTTCCTTTTCAGAACTTTCTGGGGCTACTAAGGCAATCCTGATTAAATATGCATTTTCTCAATCCTGTCCTCAAGATCACATATTGCAGCCAAATAAATTTAAAACCTACATTTCCCTTCTACACAACCTATCTCAATAGAAACCTTGGATAGCAATGCCTTCCCATGTTGGTATGTCACAAAGAAAATGTTTTCATAAGTTGACGGTGCAGGGGTTCAAAACAAGGCACCTTAAAATGTGCTTCAATGTCTAAGGATTATGTTGAACTAAAGGCACCAAGACCCTGTGGACTCAAGAGAAACTTCTGCTCTCCCTTTAAATAGCCAGAAGAATTTTAATTAGGAGCCTGACCCATGATACAGGTTAAAACCAAAAATGACTTTTTACCTATCTAGACGGTAGGCAAACTAATACTTCTTTACATGTGATCTCCGGTCAAAGATCTTCTGATGTCCCAAGGTGCATTAACTGATCCCAGGCTCAGAAGGTCTCACATACCAAATTTCCCTTGCAGTCTCGGAACCTCTCTTGCATGTGGGGTCTCTGACTCTGTCATGTGTGTGGAGCTCCCATACATGTCACATGTAACTGATTAGACCAGCTAAAAGAACATTTATGGTAGAAGAAAGTATCTTTCTCCCCAACAATGGTCATTAATTTATGGTGAGAGTTCTTCATTCCCTATAGGGAACCTGGATGGAAACAATAAAGAGAAGGTTGTGGGACATAAGAAAAAAATATCCCTGAGACATATAGGGAAGTCATCACACCTCAGCTCCCTACTCAAAAATGCAGAGGTAGCTGACTTTATCTCCTTTCCAAATACCTGCTTCCCTGCAGATGTTGAAACTACTGATGCCCATGAGCAGTTGATCTGGGTTTGACTGCTACATGAACTTCCTGGGGTGGCTCTAGTGAACTACACTGCCATAGTTCCTCCATAATGCAGGCGCTAACAACCTGGAAACCCAGTTGGTAAAGGAAGTCAACCCACCCTGAAATGGAAAATTCCACAAGCAGGCCATCTTGAAAAAGCCCACTTTGTCCCAAGCTTATTAAAGCCAACAAGCAACCCTATGCGGTTTGGCTCTGTAGATAAAGCGTTGGTCTGGGAACTAAAGGGGCCCGGGTTCAATTCCGGTCAAGAGCACAAGCCCAGGTTGCGGGCTCATTCCCCAGTAGGGGGTGTGCAGGAGGCAGCCGATAAATGATTCTCTCTCATCATTGATGTTTCTATCTCTCTCTCCCTCTCCCTTCTTCTCTGAAATCAATAAAAAATAAAAAAAGCCAAGCAGCACAAGTCCCTGAATTGGTTTAGAGAACATTCCTTTCTTCTGTGTTTTCTCCCTTATCCTCAAACATAAGCTTAATAAAATTTGCCCAGAAATCTCTCTGCTTGATACTTTTTAAAAAATATATATTTTATTGATTTTTTACAGAGAGGAAGGGAGAGGGATAGAGAGTTAGAAACATCGATGAGAGAGAAACATCGATCAGCTGCCTCCTGCACACCTCCCACTGGGGATGTGCCCGCAACCCAGGTACATGCCCTTGACCGGAATCGAACCTAGGACCTTTCAGTCCGCAGGCCGACGCTCTATCCACTGAGCCAAACCGGTTTCAGCTGCTTGATACTCTTGATTTCTGCATTCAGAAACCCCAAAACACCAAATGCCAGTAACATTTCAAAGAGGGAACTTGGACAATTATAAGAAGAAAAAAACGTTAAGTAGTTGAAAACTAACTTGCTTTGCAAGATCATCAGAAATAGAGAGTAAAGATTTGCAGTTTCTAAATCTACCAACTTTAGAAAGAAATGCAAACACAGAACTGACCCAAGACAGGGCATTTACCTGAGGAGCAGCCATGTTGTCCTCTTCCTCCTCCTGCTCTGGGTTGTTTTCACGGGGGAACATATGTTGAGGAATCACACCTGTCTCTTGAGAATATGTCTTGCTTCCACAGTCATGGGCAGAAGGACCTTAAAATGTTGAAAAATGTCACACTCCGTCGTCCTTTGTCACAGGAGAGATTCAGAAACAATGAGATCCTACATGAAGCTTAAACTGTGAGTTTTTTCTCTCCTGTTTACCCCTGATATCCCCTGCCACAGACATGCACAAATTTCAACCCAGCAATGAGAATATGGGCTGTCCTCCTACCCCTCCATATCCAACAGAGCACCCTGTTATCTCCCCTGGACCAAACCTGGCTCTGAACTCTCACAAAAGTCTTGGGGCAAAGAGCCCTTCTGCTAAACACTGCCCTCACTTTTGAATCACCTGGAGCACACTAAAACAATGATGTTCCTCCCAGACCAGTAGTCCAACTCTGTGGGGGAGGGCACAGTAATGTTATTTCTTATCATCAAATGATCTAATGGGAGGAGACCATTTAGCTAAGCATTTCTTCTACAGTTTTAATGTATAGGCAGAACCCTTGGGAACCACGGCCCCTTCTAAAAAGCTAAGATGCTGTAATCAGCAGTGAGGCCCATGAAATGGCATCTTTAGCTAGTTCCTGCCAGAGGTAACATTGCTCCCCAAGATCTGTTTTCAGTAGCAGTGGGCTAGGGAGATACTAGACACAACACACCCGAGACCTGTGTAAGAAGTTGGGCTAGGAACTTCTAGAAGGGCAAGACCCCAGGGTGGATTCCTAGTGTTGGAGTTGTTCTGGAATGGGCATGACCAGGTCCTGGGATATTTTTGCAGGTGCAACAGGGAGGGGGAAACCACATGGTGGCAACAGGGTTGTGTGAGGTGCCTGCCTCAGAACCTTCACAAACTAACCTGAGTCCCCAGGAATTCGCCCCGTCCCCTACCATGGACCAAGTGGAACAACAGGAAAATCTTCTGCCTGACCCACTGCCCACAGATGAGTGGAACCTCAATCTCCAAAGGACAAGGAGAAGAAAGGCGTTAACATTACACCTTTTTTGAAAATGAACCAAAGGAGTATAACCTAGAAGTCTGTCAAGATATAACAGTATTCACAACCCACTCATTTTCACTTTCTCCAAATGACCCCCAAATACCTACTGTTGTTCGTGTTACTATTTTAATATGGTAAGAACACTTCGAATGGGCTCGACCCTTTCTATAAAATTTTAAGTGCACAATATAATAGTGTTCATGACAGGCATAATGTTGTACGAAGGATCTCTGGAACTTATTCATCTTCGAAAAATCAAAATGTGTAACCCTAAATAGCAACTCCCATTTCCAGTCCCCCTAGTCTCTGGCAACACTAATCTTTCCTCAAAAGTTTGTTCCTGTGGGTTTGACTATCTTGTAGGAATTCTAAACCTGGATTTATACAGGGTTAACACATTAAAATACTTACTATTACACATAAGTTTAAAAATCTATAAACTTAATAGTCATATGATTAAACTTAAAGGAAGGAAATAGGATTAAATTAATAAGAGAAAAAGCCCCCAAATCTGATGCAATCTAACAAACACAATTGTTATGAAAGAAATAGAAAAGAAATTCCTAAAATACAACAGATTTCACTATAATAAATCCTCAGAGCAGCCCTGAATATTCATGCTTTTAACTGCGGGTAAGCAGGTAAATAGGTCCAAGTCATTATTTCTCATTAACATTGAGCCAGTTTATATCACCAGTGTTCTGGGGAAGAAAAAACTAGTACCTTTTTCCTCTATGCATATCTCTATGTCCAGATTTTTTCACCAAAAATATATGTTTTAATGATCTTTTAGAGAGAGAATGAGAGGGAGAGAGAGAAACATCGATGAGTGAGAAAAACATCCATGCATAGCCTCCAGCCAACAAACATGAAACTTGCATGCGTTCCCTGACCAGGAATCAAACTGGCGACCTTTAGGTGCACAGGCCAAAGCTGAAACAATGCTCAGCAACTGAGCCATACCAGCCAGGGCCAGATTTCTGCTTTTCATGAGGACGGGCCCACTATTAAAGCTCTTATTTTAAACTGATTATCTCTTCAAGGATCCTATCTTTTAAAAGGGTACTATTCCAAGGTACTGATTAAAGCTTCAAGCCCTGGCTGGTTTGGCTCAGTGAATAGAGCGTCAGCCTGTAGGCCTGAAGCTTCCCGGGCTCGATTCCTGTCAAGGGCACATGCCCAGGTTTCGGGCTCAATCCCCAGTAGGGGGTGTGCAGGAGGCAGCTGATCAGTGATTCTCAATCACTGATGTTTCTATCTCTCTCTCTCCCTCTCCCTTCCTCTCTGAAATCAATAAAAACATATTTTAAAAAAACAAACTTCAATACCCCTACCTGGCTAAGCTCTCAGTGCTGTTTCTGCCTCTGCTGTGTCATCTCTTCCTCCCTTTCCATTCCTACACTGGTCTCACCCAACTCGTTTTCTCCTGACTCCATCTGGATAGGGAGACTTATAATCTGATAGAGCACTGAGTTAATCTGAAAAGTAATCATAGTATCTTACATCTTAGAACACATATACTTATGTGAATAGGGGGTTAAGTTTTTCTTAAACTCCTTTGCAAGTGATTAAGGAGGTGACTCAGCTGTGAATCCAGCAAGCAGAACCAATAAGCAGAGTCAGACTGACCCACCAGAAGTCAAAGCATCCTCTCATCAACATCATCTCACCCTCTGATGACAATAGCTGATGTCTGGGGACCTCCAGGGCTACTCATAGCTGCATCCCTTCCCAGCCTCCCCCTCACCCCTTCCCCTTTATAATCCTATCCCCTGCACCGTGCTGGAAGACAGGATTTGAATGCTTGTACTAGTAAGCGCCCTGTCTTCTTGGTTGGCTGGCCTTCTCAATAAACGCCTAATATGATTCAACCCTGCCTTCCGTACTGGCAGCCCGAGCCCAAACAGGGGTTTCCCTGTAACAATCTGAAGTGACTTGCCCTTTGTGGCCCCCACTTTTGCTAACGAGGACTCCTCTCTCTTTCTGCTCCCCTTTAAGTGTTTAGACTTCTCCCATTCCTCCATGGGTCTCTATTTTCTTTCTCCATTTGCTACTTTCCCGAGTTCCTTATCACACTTCCCATTGCTTTTACAAGGCCCTCCTGCATCCTCAACTTCGCCATCTCTCTATAGACCCCTCACTGACCGTTCTGCCCTCTCACTACTCGATTTCTTTCTCATTATTCTTTCTCATAATCCTCCTCTCCCTGAATTAGGCCTCTTCCTGGCATCCCCTGGGAAGGCACTGCTTCCTAGTAACAGGGCAGGGAAATTCCTTGACAAGTGGAAAAGGGGAAACTGAGACAAAATCATCAGACAAGGCCAACACTTTGAGGAAGGAACTCACAGCCAGCTAATATGTCACCAGGCTTTATCTTCCCTGACCCAGGACGTTTAGGGGCAAATGACTTGCACATGCCGGACTGTCCCAGGGCCCTCACTCCTTGGTCCCAGCCCACCTTCAATGACATTCATGAAAACAAAACTAACCAGAAAAGAACCCTGGTCCCTTTTACCCACATTTTGATCAATCGGCGTTATGAAAGGACACATCGGAAAAGCTAATGGCTGTTAGGTAAAGACCCTCCCCTGAGACCTCCCCTAGGTCCAGCCAAGGACGGATTTTAAACAGAGCCTCAAGGCAAAGGATCCAGGAAAGCAGGAGAACGCCCCTCCCACACCCACACCCACACCTTTCCCTTCCCTGACTTCCTCCTCCACAGGCAGCACCTCCTAAAAGCCGATGGGGCCACAGGAAAGGGAAGGAAGCGGGGCAGCAGCAGCTCGTCTGAGGTTCACCCCCTGAACCCGGGTCCGGGAACGCCTTCCTGCCCGACTTCTGTCCCTGACCTCCATCTCTCAGAGCCAACGCAGCCGGCTGAGGTCCTCCCCTGTTGCCTCCCTCACCCCAAGCCCTCCTTTCATCGCACTGTCCCAGCTTTAATAAACACACTCGCAAAGCCACCGGGCTCCTGCGGTGAAGTCTTCCTACCCGAAGCCACGAACCCACACACCACCCGTGGCCCAGACCCCGACGGGTAACACTGGGACACCCAGTGCTGTTCTAGCCCAAATCCCGTCTCACGGAAACGTGTGCCCTTCCTTGGCATCTGGCCTTTTAGATACTAAATGGAGAGTAGGGGGGAGTCTCTGGAAAGGAGGGGCTGCAGAATCCCAGGCAAGGGAGGAATCCGGGCCTTAACTGGCCTAGAGAGTCCGAGGCTGAAGGAGGGCGCAGAGGGTTTGAGTCCATCTCCTAGGACTTTAAATGGCCTGGGGTGGGAAGGCTCTCCAGTGGGAGGTTTTAGGCAAGAAAACCATCCGAGGCTGGCCGTGTGCAGTGGCCCCAAGAAGGAAAGTGCAGAGGCAGGGCGGATGCAGACAGAATTTAACCAGAAATTAACGCGGAAACCCCAGCGCAAAGGCAGAGCCCTCAGGGCTCCAACCTCTCACGGGGACCAGAGACTCACCGCCTTGGAGACGCGGGTGTGGGGGCTTCAAGGTCCGCCGCGACCCCCGGACTCACCTGTACGGGACCGTGGGCGGAGATGCTGGGTTTAAATGAGAAAGACCAACAATCCCAGTTATCTTCCCTCTGCCTTAGCCGCTTCCGGGTTTACAAACAACTGCGCGTGCGCGTCGGGAGATGCCGGGAGGGGGCGTGGCCGGGCCCCTGCGGGAGGCGGGCGGGAGGGGCTCGGAGACGCGGAGAGGGGGCGGGGCCGGGGGCGGGGCCGTGTTCCCAGGGACTGCGCGCCCAGGGGAGGGGAGGGCGCGGCTGCGCCCGGGGCGGGGGTCAACAAAACTGGCGTGGCCTCGGTCTCGGTTCAGCCGGCTCGAGCGTGTGGCCCGGCGGGCGAAGGGTGTGGCAGGGCCCCGGAAAGGACGTGGTGGAACGGGGCCCGGAGCCGCCTGGATGGGCCCCGGGATGACGGCAGGCTCCGCGCCGCGGGGGTTATGGCTGGGCCCCGCCTCCATGTGTCCTGTGTCTTTTTGGCCTGTGAAGCAGGGCTATTCCCTGCCCACTTTAAGTAGATGTTTCAAACAGTTTAATGTAAAATTTTTGTTGGAAGCTAAAATGTCTCTCTCTTTTTTTTTTAACAGGTTGACAACGGATTTACTCAAAACCGCTAGTGGACACACCTGCGCGCCTTGGCAGAGATGCGGCTGAACTCTCGCTCTGGGTTCTGGGAACCTGGACTTACATAGCGAGTTGTGGGGGAACGATCATTGGATGGAGGAACCATCGGAATAAGCAATTTCATGAAGCAAGGAGTCTGTGCAGACGATGCGAACTTGAATGTAAAATTAAAAATTCTACCTGTATGAAATTTAAAATTCTACCTTTGAAAGACATGCCATCACATACCAACATTTATCAGGGCACCATTTCCATTACTGGTCCCCACTCACCCTGTGCTGTCCTGTGCTCAGTTGCACAAAATTTTATAAGGACAAGACCTGGAGGGAGGAAGCATGTGGTAATTCACCATCTATGTGAGTGTTTTTCTTTAAAAATACAGCAATAAATTTTACAAAATAGATATAAATTATATTATTCTTTGCATAGTCAACACGAGGGGAATGATAAACTCAAATTCCTATGTTGAGATAGACTTCTGTGTTATTGTAATTCATTTGACATTGATTTCTATATATAATGCAATCTCAAATTTATATTTATCCAAGAGCAACTAGAAAGAGTATTTTTATCTATTTTTTATACTCTAGCTTTTCGTGTTTGTTTTCTATTCATGAGGTTCTGTCAGTGTGGATAATAAACCCAGTGAAGTATATATACCTTTCTAGTAGACACTTGAATTTGTTTTCATCTGTAGAATATTTCTGCAATATTTCTAAGGGCATTTGGTAGAGACGTCTATCCTCTTTTAGATGAACCCTACAGAAAATTAAGCAATCTTATCAAACTTCCAAAGGTCTCTTAAACTTTCAATAAACTTTAAGGGAATATATATATATGAAATAATAGCCATCATGAAATGCATGTTTCTCTCAAATCCCTACATGTGCAACATTTCTTGCCAATAAGAATTTTTGATGAGATAAAGGCATTTTGGATAAAAATTCCTTTAACATATAATAAATTTAAAGGTGTCACTGCCCACATACATTATGTGGTGTTTCCCAAGGTTATGCGTTTGTTATACTCTTTCAACATTTATTACATTTGACTTACCTAATATTTTGTAAGGGTTGAACATCATGACTCATAAAAGTTGTAAGATTTTATTCCAGACTTAATATCATGATGATCCCCCAAGTATTGAAATTTGTATAAGAATTTTGCCACACTATTTTTAGGCTTTCTTTTAGATATTTACTGAACTTCAGTAATGTTCGACCCTTGGAAAAATACATTTCCCAATTCATTATTTTTAAAAACATTTTTATTGATTTTTCTGAGCTGGAAAGGGAGATGGGGAGAGAAACATCGATGTGAGAAGGAAGCATGGATTGGCTACCTCTTGCACACCCCCTACTGGGTTCTAGCCAGCAACCCAGGCATGTGCCCTGGTTGGGATTCAAACCAGCAACCCTTCAGTGTAAGGATGACACCCAACCAACAGAGTCACGCCAGCCAGGGTCCAATTCATTATTTATTTTTCTTTTTTTTTTTTTTCCGGTTAATCATCAACCAAGGATATTTTCTCCATTGATTTTTAGAGGGAGCGGAAGAAAAGGTGAGAGACAGAAAGACAGAAACATCAATGTAAGAGAAAGAAATCAATGGTTTCCCTCCCGTAGGCACCCGACTGGGCCCAGGATTGATTCCAAAACCAAGGTAGGTGCTCTTGACCAGAATTGAACCCTCCACCCTTTAGTCCACTGGCCCACGCTCTAACCACAAGCAAAACCAGCCAGGGCCCAATTCAGTATATTTTAAGGCACCTTTCCATAGTAGGAAATTCTCATGCTTAGTGAAGATTCATCCTTCCTAAACACCTTCCAAATTCATTATATTTGTAAAAATGTTCTCCAATATTTATAACTGTGATATGTGTTTATTACTGAAGAGTGGATCAAAACTTTCCCATCTTTATTGTAAATGTTAGTGCTGATACTAGGAAGGATTCTTTCATGCTGTGAAACTAAGGAACCATTTTGATAGATTTCCTGACTTGATTATACTTATAATATGCACCAGAAATCATAGGTATAAATTATCCTAACATTAGATTGGGCAATGCATTCTTAGATATTAAACAAAAAGCTCACTCAACCCTTCCCAGAATAAAATTTTGTTAAAATTTAAAAGTTGTGTATCAAAGGACACTATCAAGAAAGTGAAAAGACAATCTACAACATAGGGGGAAATTGTATTAAATTTACCTAAACAAAGAATACTTAAAACAAGCCAAAAAAGATAAATTACCCAACATAAATACATATGTAACAAATGAATAGACAATTATCAAAACAAGATATACCAGTGAACAAACACCAAATGAGAAAAAATGCTTACTATTATTAGTCATTAAAGAATGCAAATCAAAACCATGAGATGCCACGAAAAAGTTGAGAAATTAAAACCCTTGTGCATTGCAGGTGAAAATATAAAATGATGTGGCTGCTTTAGAGAAGAGCTTGGCAAGTCCTCAAAAAAAATAAAATTAACTTATTTTTATGACACAATTCCACCCATATACCCAAGATAATTTAAAATGCATGTCCATAGGTCCGACTGGTGTGGCTTAGTGGTTAAGCATGGGCCTATAAGCCAGAAGGTCACGGTTCAATTCCCAGTCAGGGCACATGCGCGGGTGAGGGCTTGATCCCCAGAGTGGGGCCTGCAGGAGGCAGCCAATTGATGATTCTCTTTCATCATTGATGTTTCTATCTCTCTCTCCCTGTCCCTTCCTCTCTCTCTTTTTTTTAAAAGATGTGAACTTTTTAAAAAATTTATTATCTAAAGCTTTACATATGTCTCCTTTTTCCCCAATTGACCCCCCCACCCTACCTCTCTGAAATTATATATATATATATATATATATATATATATATATATATATATATATATATGAAACTAGAGGCCCGGTGGATGAATTCATGCACCAGTGGGGTCCCTCAGCCTGGCCTGTGGGATCAGGCTGAAATAGGCTCTCTGATATTCCCTGAGGGGTCCTGGATTGTGAGAGGGTGCAGGCCAGGGCAAGGGACCCCACCAGTGCACAATTGGGGCCAGGGAGGGACTCGGGAGGATGGCCAGCTGGAGAGGAACTACAGGAAGGCTCCAGGGCGTGCCTGTCCTGTCTCGTTCAGTCCTGATTGGCAGGACCCCAGCAGCAAGCTAACCTACTGGTTGGAGCATCTGCCCCCTGGTGGTCAGTGCACGTCATAAAGAGCGGTTGAACGGCCTTAGCATATCATTAGCATATTACACTTTGATTGGTGGAACAGCTGATTGGACAACCCTATACTTAGCATATTAGGCTTTTATTATATAGTACTAGAGGCCCGGTGCACAAAAATTTGTGCACTTGGGGGGGTGGAGGGGGTCCCTCAGCCCGGCCTGTGCCCTCTCGCAGTCTGGGACCCCTCAGGAGATAACGACCTGCTGACTTAGGCCTGCTCCCAGGTGGCAGAGGGCAGGCCCAATCCCTAGGTGCAGCCCCTGGTCGGGCTCAAGCAGGGCAGATTGGGAGGTTGCAATGCCACCCTCAGTCACGCTCAGGGTAGGGCCGATTGGGGGGTTGGGGCACCGCCCCCTGTCACACTCAAGGCAGGGTTGATGGGGAGGTTGCGGCACCACCCCATGTCACGCACAGAACAGGGCCCATCAGGGGGGTTGGGGCTCCGGACCCTATCACGCACAGAGCAGGGTTAATCAGGGGGTTGGGGAGCTCCCCCCTGTCATGCACAGAGCAGGGCCTATCAGGGGGTTGAGGAGCTCCCCCCTGTCACTCACAGAGTAGGGCCGATAGGGGAGTTGGGGCACCGCCCCCTGTCACACTCAGCGCAGGGCGGATCAGGGGGTTGGGGCGCCGCCCTCTATCACCCACAGAACAGGGCCGATCAGGGGGTTGGGGCACTGCCACTGTCACACTCAGGGCAGGGCCGATGGGGAGGTTATGGCTCTACCCCATCACACACAGAGCAGGGCCCGTGGGGGGGGGGGCGTTCGGCACCACACCCTGTCACACACAGAGCAGGGCTGATCAGGGGGTTGAGGCGCCGCACCCTGTTACACACAGAGCCGCAGGGTGATCAGGGGGTTGGGGAGCTCCCTCCTATCAGGCACAGAGCAGGGCTGATCAGGGGGTTGGGGCGCCTTCCCGTCACGAACAGAGCAGGGAGGATAGGGAGGTTGTGGCCCCGCCCCCTATCACACACAGAGCCGCAGGGCGATCAGGGGGTTTGGGCACTGCCCCGTCACACTGATCCCGGTGCCGCAAGGCCTCTCGGCTCCGCTGATCCTGGTGCTGGGAGGCATATTACCCTTTTACTATATAGGATAGAGGCCTGGTGCATGGGTAGGGCTGGCTGGTTTGCCCTGAAGGGTGTCCTGGATCAGGGTGGGGGTCCCCACAAGGATGCCTGGCCAGCCTGGGTGAGGGGATGATGGCTGTTTGCAGCTGGTCACACACCCTTCAGGGTGGGGGTCCCCACTGGGGTGCCTGGCCAGTCTGGGT